TGAACCTGCTCTAGGCGATTAGACCTAGAGTTGTTACTACAACTTCTTTTTAGTTCTCCTTTCTTCTTCATACAATCTCTGTGGATGTGGGCCTCTGGCCACCCCCAGAAATCAGTGCACTTTCTCCCGGCGTGACCTAGAATCAGCCTTACGGTGCTGACACTGGGCTGACACAGTGCTGACACCTGGCTGGCCATGCTCTGGGAACTAGAGGACCCAGGACATGAGCAGCCTGTCCAGTTAGGGCTCAGCCTGTCCCGCTCCTTCTGCATCTAATGAAGGAGCTGCTACCATCTCTATATCCCCACTCAGGGTCAGCTTCCATTCTGGGCTTCCCCGACACTGCAGCTTTTCTCTGTCCTCACCCCAAGAGCTGAGATCCTGTCACCTGGCTCTGAAATGTCGCTGGGAACTATTCCAGGGACCTGCCTGGTCTTTCTCCTAATGGAGGCTTGGTGATCCCGGGCATCTTCTTGGCTACAAGTCTGCTTGCCACCTTGGCCAGAGGGATCTCCTGTCCCCAGGCTGGGGGAAGGGGGAATGTGCCCCTGTGGAGACTCTAGCAAAACTGGCTTAAGCTCAGAGGTCAGGGGACCAGAGAAATAGACTAAGTAGATAGTGTGGGTCAGTTCACTTGGCGAAAGATACATCGCTCTCAATCTTTGTTCCAAACAGGCATTTCTCAGACTGCAGACTGGAGTTTTTACCCCTGGCTGTTAAGACTCTTCTGATATTCACAGCCAGCTTAAATTCTATCTCCTGAAAAGGCATAAGCAGCAGCTCCTCCACCTGCCCCACTCAGCTGAGGGTCAGCCTACACGTGTTCATCATATTCTCATTCTCCTTCAGTCTCAGAGGTTTCCTCTGTAGCCTGCCATGCTGGGTTTTGCCTCTTCGAACTGCTGTCAAAGCTGTAAACTGCAAGCAGCTCCCTCTACTCCGGGAAGAGGATTGGTTATATCTCCTAAGAGGGGCTCTCATGAGGGATGACAGAAAACTCTTTACAAGTAATTAACACTTTACGGTATGCTGTACATTATCATATTTAATCTACACGGCAATTTTATGGGGGTTTTAAATGTGTCAAGTCCCATTTGGAAAGATGAGGAAACGGGCTCAGAGAACTTCATGTGGCCAGCAGAGGAAAGAGGCAGAATTCAAGTAAATTAGAAAACTCTTTACAAGTAGGTTTCCTGACCCTAAATCATTACATCTGAGAAAGTATTCAGTCCCTACCCCCCACCTTTTCTTCCAGTGTCACTTGTTCCTATGGCGCAACGCAGAAATCTTGCAAACCTGACTTTTCGCCATGATGAGTTTCCTAAAGTAAAATGCCGCTTCTCACTGAACAATAGGGAGAATGACTGCGTTCCCACACATAATAACTTAAGGTTTTGAAATGCATCTTCTTCCCTGCCTTTGGCACCAACAAGCCAGGAGAAAATAGTAATACACAGTGACAAGTGATCTAAATACCACTAATGAGGACCGGTGTCTCTGATGGGACATCTGTCCTGAGAGGGATGTGACATCATGACATCACTTAGGTAGCATTCTGTCCAGGAATGCATAATCTGAATCTAATCTAATCCAAACTGAGGAATATTCTATAAAAGAATTGACCTTACTCTCAAATAATGTCAATATCATGAAATAGGAAAGGCTGGGGAATAATTTTAGATTAAAGAGACATGTTAACTAAATGCACTATATCATTCTGGATAGAACCTTGTACTGGAGAAAAAATGCTATCAAGGCCATTATTGGAACAATTAACAAAATGGAAATATATAGGTGAAAAATAGCATAATAATGATAAACTTCCTGAATTTTATAACTTTATTGTGGTTATAGTAAGAGAATACCCTTGTTTTGAGAAATAGGCTGATGTATTACGAGGTAAAGGGGCATGATGATGTTACCTAATCTCAAATAATTCAGAAAAAATAACGTGTGTGTATGTGTGGAGGTGGAGAAAGAGAGAGAGAGAGAAAGAGAGAGAGCAATAAATGTGGTAAAAATAAATGTGGCAAATGTTAAAAATTAGTAACTCTAAGAGTATGCAGGAATTCTCTGCATTATTCTTGTAACTCTTCTTAAGTTTGAAATTACTTTTTATAAAAAAATAATTCTATGACAGTACAGCTAAAAGTCTCAATGAAAGAAAAGATGTACTGACTTTAGGGGAGGGGGACAAAGGCTAAGGCCACCCAAGAGCCCACGTATGATCCCGGCTAGCCAGGTTCTATGCAGCTCTCAGGAGTATCTGCGCTCTGCCTCTAATTGTGTATTACCAGAGCGGTAATCACTGCTGAACTAGTCTCAAGTACTGCATGTGTCATGGCGTAACCCATTCCCTCTCCAGATTGGCAGCAGCAGGGCCTCAAAATTTATTAAAAGTGGGGTCGGGGGGTGGGTGCTGAAGGCTCAGCCATTTCGCTCTCCTCTGGGACCCTGGCCAATAAACTGACCCCAAGCCTCATCCAGACCTTTGGGATCCAGTCTTTTTCAGCATTTTTATTCAACTGCCAAATTCACCTCAAACCCCTCTCCAGGGCTCAAATTCAGAAAACCAGGCAGGAGTGGCTCCTATAATCACTTGTCAGCAAGTCTGAGCCCCAGGGAAATGAGCCCTGGGTTTTGAGGCCCTACTCTTGCAAAGGAGAGTTTCACGCCCTAGCCTAGGATCTCATATCTCACAGGCTTGGATTTATATTTACTCTTATCCAGTCAACTCCAAAGCATGTTTATCAAATTCAAAGGAAATGTCCTGGTCGTCAGTCCTACGTATATGCCTGCTGGAAACCTAAACTCTTGCTGAAGCATTTTTTCTCATTTAAAAAGATTTAATAAAGTGTACCTGGTATTTGATAGATAATGCCTATGTAAGAGCAGCTATATTTCTGCGGTATAATCTCTTTCTCCAGCAGATCTTCCTCTGGGTTATATCCTAACCCTCTTTCCCCACAGGCCTGCCTGTGATTTCAGTGACTACATCTTCATTGATGACTACTCTGGGTCTGGAGATGGAGATTCTGAGACATGAACATAAAGCATCATGTCCCAGATTCATTATGTCCAGACACACTTCATTATCTTCCTGTCCACACCACCTCTGGTAGGTACCACAATCTACCTCATGGCCCAGCCAGGGACCTGAATGACATCTTAACCCACTCCACAGCTACTCTTCACGCAGTGATGTGAGAGATATTTTTAAGCTCTATGTGTGATGGCGTTCCTCCCTGTTTTAAATGTGGCTCCCTGAAAAAGTCCAAACTTCTTAACGTGACCCATTAGGGATGGCCTCATACTTACCTCTCTGAGGAGCCTTATTCTTTTCTCCCCTTCCTTTTAATTCTAGGTTCCAGCCATAATCTATTTTACTTTTCTGACATAAAGTGTTTTTCTTCAGCTCTAGATCTTCACTGTTCATGAAGCTCTTGCTTGAACCTCGCCTGGCGGGTTCCTTCAGGATTTCATGCCCCAGAAACACCCACACAAACCTCTCCGGCCCAGCCACATTGGCCTCTTGCTCTGAGGAGTCACGTGCGCTGTGGCCTCATCACTTTGACCTGCTGTCCCCTCTGCTTAGAACACTCTGCTTCCCCCGGATGACCTCATGGCTTGCCTCTCTTCCTGTAAGCCCTTACTCATGGTTCCCCTTCCCCAGAAACTCTTCATGGACCACTATATTTAAAACTGCAACATTCCCCCTCACTCTCTCAACCTCCTTATTTGGTCGCTTGTCTGTCTCCCTCACTAGGATATAAGTTCCATGAAGACAAGAATTTTCATGTTTGCTTACCACATCAGACCAGCACTTTAGGGGTATTACACACACGGAACACAGAAGATGTGTAGTAAAATTTGTATACTAAGGAAGAGATTAAAATAAATATCTTTTCTGGCTATTTTCCCCCCACAAATATGGGGAGAAACCCCATCACCACTGCATTCTAGAAGTGGAGTACCTTAATACAGCTATGAAAAGTCAGTGTTCCAGGGAAAGGACAGTTTGAGAACCTCCAGTTCCTGATATCGTATTCTTTAACAAAGGATCTCACAAAATGAAATATCTACCTGGAAAATAAAAGCCATTTTCATCACATCTTGCAATAACCTTCTGGCCTTTAAGGTAATCCAATTTTTTTGATCTGGTTTTCTTTGTTGGATTTCCTTGAAACTTCTGTTGCTAAAAAAGATAAAACAGAGAACTGATAGAAAAAGTCAATGCAGATAATGAAAATTACAGGTACAACCTTTTCCGGACAATTTAAACAGGATCTAGAGTCTTACAACATAAAACTCAATATATTCATTATATAACCAAAATGCAGCATACAAAAAAGCAAGCAAATATGACCAATTCTCATGGTAAAAAGCAATCAACAGATCACAATACTGAGATGACCCAGGTGTTGTAATAATTAGATAAAGACTTTAAATCAGCAATTATAACCATAGTCCATGAGATGAAAGTAAATACTCCTAAAATGTATGGCAAAAGGTTTTCAGCAGAATAATAGAAACTATAAAAAAAAAATGCAAGAGACTGGAAGACAAATCAACAGAATTATCCAATCTGCAAAGCATAGAGAGAAAATATTTTTTAAAATGAGCAACATCCTTCCTGGTCCAAATAACCCCTTCAAAGCCCAGCTCAGTAATATTCTCTCTGAGAAGACTTTACCCCCAGGCAATTTCAGGGGGAAAAAAAGGTATCTTCATGCAATGGAATATTATTCAGCCATTTATATATGAAACTCACAGAAAAGGCAAATTCATATACAGATATTGATCAGTGGTTACCTGAGGTGACAGAGATTGGCTGCAAATGGGCATGACGGATCTTTTCAGGGTGATAGAAATGTGCTGAAACTAGACTGTGGTGTGGCTGACAGCTCTGTCAGTTTCACTAAAAATCAGTGAATTGAAACAGATGAATTTTATGGTAAAAAGTTATATTTCTACAAATTTTTTTTAAAGGTAAAAATAGGCAGCATTGACTTCTGGTTCGCTCTGTGTAATCACTCAGTATATTTTGCATATGGTGGGCTGAATGAGCAAATGAACATGGAAGCTTCTGGATATACTCTTAAATTAAAAGGTAAACCAAACAGGCCTTTTTCTTCAAATCACTACATTGCAGAAAGTGGGGATTTTCCCTCCTAGATTTTTTTCATTTTTTCTCTTTCTTGACCATTAATTTATTAATTCTTGGATTTTTCCAAGAAATTAGTCCTCCTTCCATTTGGAGTGTCCAGCAATATCATTCTCCAGCTTCTCTTCACAGACTATCAAAAGCCACTTTTCACCTGATACAAAGCCGGTATAAGGTGTTTTCACATGCATTTTGATGTCACCTTTGTGCAGTGCTATAGCTAGATCATAAATAAAGTATTAAATGCATATTTTATGAGTTCATCTACAGGACTCCACTTAGGCATCTCTATGAGGCAAGTGACTGTCAAACCTGAAATAACTCCAGGTGGTCAGAACACCATTTGCTCTTGGGTCATTACTCTTCTTTGGAAATAAGGGGGTCACTATAAGGCGTCCTGATACAATTGGGTTCTGTTGCAGCATCTATTATTTGAATCTGTTCAGAGATGCTTTTTGGGTTCATGAAAAGAAGCAGGAGTACAGTTTATTCCCTGGAAGGTAAAAACTTAGAGCTAAGTCCTTAGAAGTGAAAAAATAATAAACTAAGGGGTTAGGATCTCTTGAAAGAATTGTGGGATATTATCAGATCTTCAGCCTATGCAACCATGGACAAAACCATCAAATCAATACTACTCTTTAATTTATGATGTTCCCATTTGCCGGACTTTGCTCAGGCACCTGCATTCTCATGGAATTTCTGTTTTCACTAATGCAATCAGTATGTTAGAGAGGACGGCCAAGGTCACTGGTAGGTGGGGAATGTCACTGCTTGTCCTAGGCTTTCACTTAGAGGGACCTAACCACGCCATCCCATGGGTGATCCAGAATGACCGGCTGCAGTCTGAACGGCCTCAAAGGGAAGAGCCTGTACCAGGAGACAGGAGAAACAGAACTTGTGCTGTCCAGCTGGCTCTGTGACCTTTTAACTTTCTTGGGTTTCAGTTTCTGTATCTACAAAAAGAGGGGGTGGCCAAAAGGATCTCTAATATCTGCTAAATCCATATTTTGGTCCAGGAGAACCTAGGCCCTTCTAGGCCCTTCTGTGCTGCTGGAGGAACTGTCAGATCAAGTGTTTACAAGAACAGGGCACAAGCATGATGACCTTGTTTAGTTTTTACGATTTGAGGGAGATGCACTGGCAGAACTGTGACTACGAGTAGCACAGTTTTCCGTCATCATACTTTAAAGAGATGCCCACACCGCCATTTCCTACAGTCAGGTAGGATTCACATAAAGGTTTCCAACAGATCCAGGTAAGGTTTCTAATCACTGGTAGAATTCAGACTCTTGAGAATCTGCAACATCACAAATTAAATAGTTATTTAAAAGCCTTTACATAAAGGTAACCTTCCATAAAGGCTACCTGTGCATAAAGTTAACTTCCAAAGCCACCTGCTTCATGCCACCAGCGTTCATGTCAAAGACCAAGTGTCTAGAGGTGCTGCTGGTCACCAAGGCACTAGGTGGCCTCTCCACCTCCAGATGATGACCACCTGTTTTTCCAGAGAGATGTCCACATCGACACCAGAAAGGCATTTTTCCCCTTTAGATTTCATCAATGTAACGGAGAAGCCATTTATTTGAACCTATGCCTAGATACATTTAAAGTTTCTTATCAAAATTCTGAATGAGTATAATCACATAATTTATTTATCTAGCCTCCTTTTCTCTCTAGATTCCAAATATTGATTTGATTCTCTCCATATCCAAGCCCAAAGCTAACCAATGAGGTTGCTTACTACGTTGTCACAGGTACAATTCTGTGAAGTCAGTTCCCTGAAATCATCAGAGTTCTTTTTTCTACAGTTGTCACTCACTTCCCAATTCATCTGATATAGGAATACCACCCATCCCGCAAAGACCTCCCCTGCGTGGGCAACAAGAATGAATGGTAGCAATATAGAGAGCTCTGTGTTCATTTTTAACACACTGAAAATGCCACCTAAGAAAACACTTTCAAAATGGCTGCAAAGCATCATCCCCTGGCCCTGAAATCATTCATATACCTATGAGTTCACCTGAAAAGACCACTGCAGATACTAAGGGCTTTGCACAGGTGACTCACATTTACTCTGCTTTTGTTTGCAACTGTTATTACTATTGGCAACAATCCATTTCTGGTTGTCTCCACAACATGTAGCCTTGTGGAAGGACCATTTGCTGTACACTCGGTGATTCAGCCTGGCTACTATCAATTCGGCCACACCACACTAAGGTAGAAAGGCCATGGCAAAAACGAACCTGCAGGGCTGGCTTTAACACAACAGTTCATTCCACAGAAACAGAGCGTTGGCTTCCCAAATGGAAGGACATTGATCAGGGCAGCTGGACACGCCATCCCTCCAGCCACAATGCTGACACCTTTCCAAAAAGATGATATCCCATACTTTCCAAATCTTGCCAAAGACTTTAAAGCCAGTCCCTAGCCCCATTCCTTTTCTGACACGCCTTACCTATACACATGCAAAACACACGAGTGTCATCGAGTTTTAAAAAGAAATCCACAGAGGATGAGAGTCAGAGGGGATGGAGAGTGAGAATAAGAAATGCCAGCTGTAAATCGGTAAGTCCACAGATCTGCAGGCTTGGGGCATAAGAGCAGCTGCAAGCCACTTTCAGGGAGGAAGCCAATGAGCGCTGATGCCAGCAGTCGGGATGCTGTCTGCTGGGTAATTTGATATTGCCTTGTCTCCAAAATCCAGAGAATCTAATTCACTTCTTTGCCAGATTCAATTACCAGGTGATGTAGAGCAGTATCCAAAATGGTGCCACCCTCCTTTCATTTCATTTCTTAGTTTCAAGGTCATGCTTTCTAGTTTGCACCAGTGAGGATAGTGAACTTACTAAATGTCTGATGCTTTAAAATTTGTTTCCATTTAACAAACAACATACTTCTACATCAGGTACAGAATGTATTTCTAGGATTTAACTAGAACTAGTCTTTGGCTCAAAATCTTGTTATAAAACCACTACTAAATATTTTTTCCCTGTCCCAAATCACTGAACTGCTGCCACACAGCAGCTCTAATGTGCTTCTCTGTCCACGTTTGGTCCTCAAAGCCAATAGAGCTCAAAGATGATACATGTTGTGTCAGGCATGGTTTGTCTTCTCTTCTCTCTAGGACTCTTAATTATGAGACCAGAACATTTCACACTGTCTGTGAATAATGCAACTCCCTTTAAAACCCTGGAGAGGAGGACAGGGCCAGCCCAGAGGTTTCCTGACCTTCACTCTCTCTCCTCTCATTCAGCTTTAGAGGTGTTTCCTCCACTCCCAGAATATCTACGGCCTGCAGCCTTTTTCTTTCTTTCTTTCTTTTCTTTCTTTCTCTCTTTCTTTCTTTCTTTCTTTCTTTCTTTCTTTCTTTCTTTCTTTCTTTCTTTCTTTCTTTCTTTCTTTCTTT